ATATATATATATATTTAATTAAAAAGAAAGAAATATTTATATAATAAATATTTTTTGGTGTGTGGAAAAAATGCAGAATACAAAACATATTTATAGTCTTCATAGATGGATGTTAGCCATCTATATGGTGATAATAAATGGAAGAAAATAATTCGGGGTGGGAGTGAAGGGGAAGGAAAAAGAAAGAAGGAAGGAAGGAAGAGCACAAAAGATAAAAGATGACAGACTAAGATAATATATATCATTATGTTGGCATAGGCTGTATCCTGAGTGGGACAATTTTTTTTTTCATTTGGCTTATCTTTATATTCTAATACGTTAACAATCTAGTAGGATTAGTTTATTTATATATCTCTAAATGCAACCATAATTTTTAACAACCATAAAAAAAAATACCAAGCTAATGAAAAAAGAGAAAGCACATTGAGATTAAGGTGTTAATATATAAATGATTATGAATTTGAACAATTACTACTACTTGTTTTACATCCATAATACTTTCATAGTAAAGGACTTATTAACATACTGGTTCACTCATCGACTGGAAAAAAAATTAAAATTTTGGTTATTTGTGTTGTTAGTATCAGATTTGCAATAATATTCAATTACTTAAGATGAAATTAACCTTCAAAATCCTGTGAAATATTATTAGTATGAATAATTTTCTAAATTAATTGCACATATTTACTATATTTATAAAGTTAAGTACTCAAATTGTTTAATTTTTTAAAAATAGAGAATAGAAAACATTTTTTGTCTTTTTCATAAGGGCTGTATAATGAATTTGGGTAGTTTTAGCTTGCAAATTACAAAATAGTTAAATATTAAAGTTATTAGATAATAAAAATCTCTCAAAGTCTAAATTGTTGTTAATATAATTGTCATGCAATGCAGTTACTATTTCCTTGTAATAGAATGATTTTTATATCACAATATTTTACTCATCCTTTCATTTTCTATTTAATAATATGGATGTCTTTTAATTGAACAGAAGATAATGAAATACTTTGTGTAATCTATTTATTAAGATTGTTAGGGCTGACCGAGTGGCTCAGTTGGATTAAGAGTTGGTTTAAGAGCGTGAACTCTGAGCAATAGGGCCTCTGGTTTGATTCTCACATTGGCCAGTGATGCTGCACCTGAGCTGAGCTGTCACTTAGCTGCCAACAGGTGGCAGGATGGCTCAGCTGGTGTAACAACAAGACTGCCTGTATGATGGTGGGCTACACCCACCCGCAACTAAGACTAAACTTGGTATCTTGAGCTGAGCTGCCACTCAGATGGCTCAATAGATAGAGCATGCGCTCTTAACAACAAGGCTGCTGGATCGGATCCTGTATGGGATGGTGGTTACGCCCACCTGCAACTAAGATTGAACACAGCACCTTGAGTTTACAGGCCACAAGCTGCCGACGGGAAGCCAGATGATGACTGGCACCCTCCACAACTAAGACTGAAGAACAACAACTTGGCTGGTCCCACTCCTCAATTCTCCAACACTGTTCCCCTCCCCCAATTCCCCAATAAAATCTTTAAAAAAGAAAAGATTGTTAGTATTATAAATATAGTAACATGCATATTGTTAAATGGTTTACATAGTTTTCACAAAAAATACTTCATTTTTAATGTACACCAGTGAAATAATTTACAAGTAAAAATAATTGTTGACTATAAATATCTTCCAATGAAGCATTTTTTCTGAAAGTTTTCAATAAAGAAAAGTTCAACAATTGAAAGAAAACTTTTGAATGATGACTGACCTGATAATCTAAGAGACTTTAAATCTCAATGGCATTTAAAGGTATTTCTTATATTTTCATTCCCCAGTGTAGTAAAGAAACACAATAAATATGACCCAGTATTTGAATCGACACTGGTCACTGATTGACATGTTAACTTTTGGTTTTATGTGTTCTTTTTCTAGTTCTTCATGGTGTAATGGTGGGTTGTTTATTTAGGATTTTTCTTGTTTCTCAAGATAGGTCTGTAATGCTATACAAATACCACTGTTATTAATACTTTTGCTGCATCACAATAATTTTGATAGGATGTGTTTTCATTCTCATTGTTTTTATGTATCTTTTGATCTCTTATTTCTTCTTCATTTCTTATTCAGTATAACCAGTATAAGGGCAAATCAGCAGCAAATCTCTTTTTTTACATTTTTTTACTTTTGTAAAAAAATGTAAACCAATTCTATAACTTCATTGGTTGCTTCAATTTGAAACTCTCCTGAATGCTGAAGACAACTTCACGTTTCTTTATGGAGAAATACTCAGAGAGGAAAATAATATATTTGTTATTCAGTCATTCAAATCCCTTCCCTATTTGCCTGCTTTTCCCAATCAAAACAAATTTAAGGTCTCTACCTTCCTCACACACACACACACACACACCTGCTCTCTTTACAACAACAATATATCCAGTGAATTTTCAATCATTTGTGACATTTAACAAGATGTCGACTTGGGTAGTTTAAGTTGTAGGGAAAATTTCATAAAGACTTACCCCATTTTTTGGAAAAGCAATCCATCCCAGGTCCCCCATGACAGTACGTGAATCCAATAAATTCACTGAAAGTGAAAGAACACAAAACTGAGTCAGATATATAAACACGCATCACTATTTCCACAGTGTTATTAAAAGTGCATATTGACACATAACTGAAATTAGATTAAGCATGCATTATGATGAATACATGAGTTATAACTCAGAGAAACTATTATTTCTACGCAAAAGAACAAGTGATTCTGAATTAACGATTAGAACAATTATCTCAAAAATATATAAACAAGTCATTACCCTAAGTGCTTTTTTTTCTTTGTCAAATAAGAATAAAGGAGAATAATTAAAATAAGAAAAAAAAACTCCAAAAGGTCCACAGAAAACTTTATAAGGACCATGTCACTTTTTCTTCAGGCTCTAGGTCTTTGGATTACACTCCAGCCATAAAATGGTAGCTCAATGTACTTCATTTTCTTCCAGAAAGCTGTTATGAAGCAATTTACAAATAATTTACATCAAACAGCAATAAACTATCTCCAAGCTTGTAACTATTTTTGTGATATTAACTGAAATCTGTAATCCAAATGGTAAGTTTAATTAAGACATAAATCTACACACCCTTAACTAAGCCACAGAAATTGTAGCAGCTTTCAGGATTTTTAGAGTTATGTATGTCTCCATTGCCTTTCCAAGATATCTTCTACTTGTATATAACCATAGTCTCATATGTGCTTCTTATAGGACTATCAGCTACATTTTTCAATGGCAGAGATCAATTATAGTTGGATATCTTAAAACATTTGGAACTCCCGGGATGCAAGTCTGAATATCATCACTGCAAAAAGAAGCCACATATTGTGCACTCACGTGACACACATGGTGTTTATATTTCAACAAGTTCATCTACTGTCCCCCCAAAATTAAATTAGCTAAAAGGGTGCTGTGTTGTCAAAATGCTTTAGATCTGGATCAGAGATCATTATCTTTCCAACCTATTATGTCTAACACAAATGGATCTACCTTGCCCACTGTGCAGCTTAACCAGTTTTAATGAGCATGGCATATGGACCCAAAAAGGGAACTGGATTTTCCCTAGTCAGAGGTATGAAGCTTCCTCTAACTACATTCAAGAGCCAGTAACTTGAAATTCCAGGAATTCTAAAGAGATGATTCTATCTACAAGTAAGCCTGGGGTACTAAAAGAGGAACAGTTGATAGGCTGGGAAATGTGTTATACTTCTATAAAAAAATATACAACAGGGGCCGGCTGAGTGGCTCAGTTAGTTAAGAGCTCACTCAAGAGTGCGAGCTCCAAGCAACAGGATCGCCAGTTCGATTTCCAGCCCAAGCTGAGCTGCCGCTGAGCTGCCAACAGGTGGCAGGATGGCTCAGCTAAATATATATATATATATATATGGCAGAATTACTATAATGAAGGAAATCAAGATCAAAATTGAAATAGAACTTTTCTACACGATAGAAATTATGTGCACTTAACACTTATTATCAATCATTTTATTTCATATAACATAAAACATAAACACCAAGTTAACAGTCTAAAATATTCATAATAGAAAATCAAAAAGTTAAATTTTTAGAAAACACAGAAATATACTCTGTACACACATACACATGCTCTCATATTCAATATACTTGTCTATTTTCCTCAACTTCTGAGCTCCTTAACTAGAAAAGTGTGCGCTTATAGAATGGCTATATTATCTTTAGCCTACACATATCGCCTTGGCTTTAGGGAATAACAAAATAAATAATTTGTGGAATTGTTTTAGAGAAAAACGGACTAACTGAAGAACCATTACTTAAAACGCTGGAAAGAAAGAAGGAAAGAAAGAAGGAAGGGAGGAAGGAAGGAAGGAAGGGAGGGAGGGAGGGAGGAAGGAAGGAAGGAAGGAAGGGAGGAAGGAAGGAAAGGGAGGAAGAAAACTGTTCTACTACCTACTGACCTTGCAAATCCACCATTCACTCCACTAAATCTAATTTTTCAGAAAGGTCCATACTCTTTTCTTTTTACTCTATTGTTGGCTTTTCTGGTTTCCATGGGAATAAGGCTACATTAAACTTAAATGTCCTTGTCCTCATTTTGGTTTTTCTGGGACACTAGAGCTGTGTCTAGACATGATTAAAACACCAGGGGAGTGCAGAACCTAAATCGTTGTTTATTCATCTTTATGATTCATTTGATTCACCTTTGATATTGAGCAGCAGCATATCTGTGTAGACTAGATAAAGTGGAGAAAAATCATCAAACTAACGGCCTTCTGGTATGAAGGCCGTCAGACTGAACTTAATCCTGTGGTGGCAAAAGGTTGTGCATAGGAATTCCAGGAATTTATAACCAGCCTGCCATGAGAAACAGAGCATTCTTAGCAAACCTTTTAATAATATGTGGATCTTGAAATGTTCATTTGCAACAACAGAATTCCAGATATCAATCTGAAGTTTAGTTATCCTCATTTAAATTAACTCTAACCTAAGTTATTATTTTTACTCTTTTTGGCTTAAGATATACATGCGTGTGAAAGTAAATGAATGAACTCAAAATACTAGCTTGGCTGTTAATATAACTTACTGGGAATTTTCAATATTGGAATACATTGTTAAACACATAAAAATAATCACAATGGGAATGTATATTATCTTTCTTACGGTGATTTGTCAAACGATTTTCTTCAAATAGGTAGATTAGGAGAGGAGGTTTATAGGAAATTACATGTACATCACTTCCCACTACTGTCTAAAATTGCTTTCCTCTTGGAAACAGACGATTTCATAAAGTTCATAATGCAAAAAACATATTTACATATACCATTGCTGGATTGGAAATTGAGAAAAAAAGTAAAATTAGATGTTTTAGGTAACTGCTTGCAGATTATATATTATAATTTTGTTCATATAATGCAGAGCAAATTGGGATTTGATGACACAGGGAAAATAACTAAATTTATATACATATACATATATAATTTACATATAGATTTCCTATTTATCTCTATATAGATGTATATAAGATAGATAGGTAGATAGATGATATAGATAGATAGATAGATAGATAGATAGATAGATAGATAGATAGACAGACAGACAGACAGACAAGTAGCTTTCTCATAGCTCCAAGTTTTGCACATGCTGCTTTCACTTTCTCAAATGACCTCCCCCCTTTCTCAATTGTTAAGTCTTTCTTCCAAACATATTTCAGGAGCTGCCTTTGCCAGAAAGCCATCTCTGATCTTCCCTTTCCTAAATCTAGGTAAGGAATTATTACTGAATATTTGATTAGCACCCAATTCTTATCTGCAAAAACACTAAATGAACAGAATTGCGTTTCCTTAAAAGAACACCACTATTTCACTCACAGCTATGAACCTCGCCTGCGCTCAGAACAGCTGAATAGCTGTATGTCTTATGAATGAATCTTTTGGTTAGTGGATGGGTCAGGAGGGTGTGTCGGAATCAAGGTTTAGCAGTGGTTGGCAACAAGGGTATCTGGTAATGTCTGGAGATATTTTTTATTGTTAAAACTGGAGGGTGAGGTGGTGATCACTTCGTAAGATACATAAATGTTGAATCACTATGTTAGACACCTAAAACTAATGTAATAGGGTATATCAACTATACTTTAATAATAATTTTTTTAAAACTAGGGGACGAGGGGAGTAGCCAGGCATGTAGCTAAGCATCCCTCATGCACAGCAAAACTTCTCCCACCCCAAAGCGAGAATTATCTGGCTCAAATTTCACTAGTGCCAAAGTTGAGAGACCCTGGTATACACTTTTGAAGCTACCAGAAAACCTTTACTTTCACAAATATGTGTACAGTACATCAGTATCAGGTTCTTCATTAATGGAAGTTAGTATATTTGGAGACATTCATTATGAATCAAAATACTACTATTTTAGGGAAATAAAAGTAATAAAAATTGAATCTTAGAGGAAAAATAGAGCATTTTTATTACCCAGCACCCCTAAATTATTTTTCACATAACCAATATAACTATTATTACAGGTGTTCTTATTTATGTTCTAAGCATTTCTCAACATTCATGATGGCATGCATGTTGCCACTGATATTATTAATGTCTCCATTTCCCCCACTCCTTAAGCTAGAGACATAAAAACTAGAAGTTTAGGGTATATATAAATGTGAAATTTCACAAGTTCTTTTCCCAATTTCACCACAAAATTTATTTAAAAAGGGAATTGGCAGTAACGGAGCACAGTCACTAAGTATCTTCTGTGCAACAATTACAGTAATTAAATTGTTCTGAACAGTATATATGCTCATTGTAAATTTCAATGAATACACAATGAGTATTGATCTTATTGTACAACTTAATTAAAACTTGTCCGGGAGAAGCCACTAATGAATATAATTAAAGGAAATGTTTGATACCACAGTTACTCTGGAAGACATTAATTAGATATTAGAATTTTTGTGGAAAATATTTTTATTCCATTATTTACATTATGAAATAAAGCCACACCATTAAACTGAGAGACAGCCTTCAAGGTCATGGTCCCTCAGTCATTGTATAATTACAATGAAAATGGCATATTGGTTGGTGTTCTCATCAGTAATTAGAAGAGAGATTCTTCAGGAGAAATAACTCTACAGAGGTCAATGAATATGTAGTCTATTGCAAATGTCTTAAAGTTATATAGGGAAAAAAGGCTAATACAGGAACTTTTTAATAAGTAAAAATTAGTTCTGTCTGCCCAACCAAATAAAAGATTATAATAGAACTAATTCAAACTAATCATATGTATGTTTTATTTTTATTACTATACACTAATAATTTTAATGCTTTCTTGAACAAACAGAGAAAAGTCTTTAAAGAATTTAGTTTCAGAAAAGCCAAGAGGCTAACTCATTTTTTTTGTTGTTGTTGGGATTCAAGGGGAGCAAGGAGAAGCCAGAATGAGTAAAATGGAATATCCATAAGAAGCGTCCTAAATCCTAAACTTCACACATTTTAACAACTAGAGATTAAGTTGAGTTAATAACTCAAATATGATCTTCAATGATTATAATTTCCAAATATTCATAACT